CCGCCTCCTCCGCCGCCTCCTCCTCCTCCGCCGCCGCCGCCTCCGCCTCCGCCTCCGCCGCCTCCGCCTCCTCCTCCTCCGCCGCCTCCGCCTCCGCCTCCGCCTCCGCCTCCTCCGCCTCCGCCTCCGCCTCCTCCGCCTCCGCCTCCTCCGCCGTCTCCTCCGCCTCCGAGCAAAGCCTGCGCGTCGGCGGAGTCCTCCACCTGCATGAGCGCCGCCGCCGCCACCGCCTTCTCCGACGCGAGGTGCTTCGCGTAGCAAAGCGCCGCCTCCTCGGCCGTGGAGAAGTCGCCGAGGCGCAGCTGCCGGCCTCCCTCGGTGACTTGCACCTTGAAGGGCCGCTTGGCGTAGCACGCGTTGTAGGCGACGCACCTGGGTTCGGGTACCGTGGGGCAGGGGAGGGTGGGTTCGGGTACCGTGGGGTAGGGGAGGGTGGGTTCGGGTATGTTGGCGACGCACTTGAAGCCCGTGTTCGACCGCGACGAGCGAACGAGCTGCAGGCCGAGCCGTGCCGCCTCGCGCAGCGCCGCCTTTGCCTCCTCGCTCTGCGACACCATCCTCGGCATCTCCTCCTGCGCCGCCTTTGCGCTCAGCCCCCCGTCGGGCTGCGCTTGCAGCGCGGCGCTCTTGGAGGTGATGCGCGCACCTGGAAGAGGGGTAGAAGAAGAGAACCATCCGGGCGTCGTTGCAGCCGCTCCCCCTCCTCCCAGGTCCGCATTTGCCGAATCTGGAGCTGCGTCTCCTGGCTGCATCTCCGGCAGCCTCTCGACTGCCTCTCGGCTTCTCCAGGCTGCCTCTCGACTCATCTCGGCTACTCTCGCGCCCTCGGGCGAGACGTACGACCAGTGGCAGCGCTTCTCCGCGCCTCGGTACTTTGGGACCACTCGCCTAGTACCATACCCTCCCGAGTCTCGAATCCAGTGCGGGTTCGGTCCCGCGGCTGTAGGGTGAGCTCGCCAGCCGGAGGCGTAAGCGCCGGGCCAGAGCTTGGCGTCGACCGCCCGCTCGCCCAGCATCTGCTCCTGCTCCCAGTCGAGCAGCGGCTCCTGCAGCAAGATCCGGGGCGCGTCTGCTGGCTCGCCGAAACTTGATCCGAGAGGGGGGTTGGTGGTGGGGGGGAGCACCTCGGCGGAGCGGACACGCCGCTTCTTGACCGGCTGCGGCGGCCCTCCCCCGCCCGCCTCGACCGGCTTGCAGAACCGCCGGTGCGACTGCGGGGTGGTGAGGGCGGGAGGCGGGAGGCGGCGGCAGGTGGGAGGTGGGTGGCGCCGGGGGGCATTCGAGAAGGGGGGAGGAGGGGGCGAGGAGGGGATGATGGGGCCGCGGCGGGTGGCGGCCGGGGAGCAGCAGGGCGCTTCGGGGGTCCGTGCCGGCAGGCAGGGAATGGGTCGGCAGGTGGGCAGGCGGCGCCCGCCGCGCGCCTTCATCGCTCCCGCGTTTTGGAAGCTGTTGCCGCAGATATCACAGACACTCAGGGTTGCGACGCTCTCGACGGCGCGCGAGGCCTGCCAGAGGAGCGTCCCCGGCGCGTCCCCGGACCCGGAGCTGGTCATGGAGTAGAGTGGGAGCGAACGCGCCGGGCTTCGCCCAGCGCTTTCAGCTGGTTACTACGAGTGTATTCTTTTTTTACACGTTTTCCTCTTGAGTGCGAGAAGGGCTTGCCGCAGGCAGCTAGCCCGTGAGGAGGGCGTCCGTAGACACCTCACTAGACCCCACACACGGTCTCGTCCGTGCCTCGCCGGCCGGTGAGATTGCTAGAGGTGGAGCAAGCCCGCTCTAGCCTCGCATATCACTTCCTGTCGTCTGTTGTTTGTTGTGCCCTTGTTTGTACTCCTTGGCACCGTGGAGTGCTGGGGGGGGCGACAGGGAGGATGTGGCCTTGAGTTATGTGTGCGCCAACTCAGGATGTGTGGCAGCCAACTGGCTGTGTGTCTTGTGAGCCTGTTTGTGTCTGTGTGCCGCTATGCCGCCTTCTCAGCCGCCTGGATAGCCGCCCACTGGGCAACCGAGTAGTGGGAGGGGCGAGATTGGCGAGCAGTGGGAGGGCCGTCAGGCTCGGCGCCGCGCGCCGCGCCCGCATCCACAACAAAAGAGTAAAAGATGAAAATAAGCGCGAGGAGTCGCTCCTTATCGCAAACCCGCAGTCCACATTATATTCCAAAGAGCAAGCTTCAATGTAGAAAAAGAAAGGTCTCGTACTTTCATGGGACGATATTAAAACCCGTTTTACTTCGAAAATGGGCGACACAGCAGCCGGCCCGCGCCCTGCGCTGCGCCGGGTGACGCAGACGCCCGTCAGCGACAAAGCTTCCTCCGTCGCTGCCTGCGTCTCAGCCACATCGGGGCGTGATATGGGAGTCCCTCGCGGGAGCCTCAACGGCGCACTCACCGCCTCTCCATCGGCACCTCCCGCCGCCTCTTCATCGGCACCTCCCGCCTTGGCTAATCTACCGCCAGAGGTGCAAAACTGGATGCGTGAGATGGAGGCGGAACAGCGCGTGTTGGCCGCGGGCTTAGCCACGCTGACGGCAAAGCTGGAGCAGAATGAGGCGGTCAGACAAGTGCAGGGTGGTGAGGAGAAGGGCGCAGCAAGTGCGGAGGAGTTGGATGCTGTGGTGGAGAGGGACTGGCTCGAGCCAGAGCGTACCAGCTCAGTTAGCACCTCCACTGACGACGATGAACTCTTTCAAGAGCTGCGCACAGCGATCTCCCACTCACTGTCAGAGGGAGCGGTGGCCGAGGGGGCGCAGTGCGACCTCTTCTCGTTTTGCGTGTGGCTTATCTTCTCACGGATGCCGCTCCGCAACGTCGTCCATGCGTGGACCCTCTTCATTTCCCTCTCCTGCGTCCAGCTCGTCCTCACATTCGGCTACTACGACGCCAGCACGCTCATTTACTGGCTCAAGGGCTTCGGAGCCGTCTTCCAGGATGCGTTCGAGAAGGAGTTTATGTATCTGCACACGCGTCTTGACCGCGTGCCAACGGTGAACGTGCTGTGCGCGGTCCTTTCCATCATCAACATGAACTTCGTCATCCGTCGCGACTTTGTCGGCACGCTGCGCAGCTGCATCCTTGGGTTCAAGACACACCGGCACATCCGCGAGGGCGAGCCGCCGGTACGAGCGGCGCTACACTCGTGGCTTACCGTCTTCCTTCCCGTGTACTGCGGCATTACCGTGCGAGCCATCTTGCTGCCGGCGTATACCGCGTGCGCTGCCCCTCTGGCCTTCAGAGGCGCCACCGCGGCGGATATTGTGCTGAGCTCCATGTCGCTGTCTTTCCTGTTTGATCTCGACGACATGCTGTATGGATACCTACTGAGTAGTCGACAGCGGGGCATCTACGAGGGTTCGATGGCGCAGTTCCAGTCGCACCACTTTACGCTCGGCTTCAAGGAGCGGCGGCTCATTGGCCTCTATGCTTGGTCGCTGTGGGCGCTCGACGTGGCGTGGATGATCTGCTACTACCTCACGCTCGTTGGGTACGATGTGATCGGCCTGCCTTTCGCCATCCGCAACGACGGTCGACATGACGACGATCTTGCACCCATTGCAGTGGTGCGCTTCGAGTGCGTGCAAATCATGCCTTGGTGGTAAGTGTCCTCGTACTTGCTTGCTGTAGGTCGACACCCGAGAGGTTGCGCGGACCGTGATCCTGTACAAGGGTTGCGCCGTCGGATTGTCGCTCCTGGCCGGCATTGTCCATGCGCGGGCGAGTCGCTTTACGCGAGAGAACTCGCGCCTGTGGCTCGATGTCGTTGAGGCAGTCAGCCATGCCGGAACGCTGGCTGGTTGCGTCTTCCTCGGCTTGGCGGTCAACGCCATCCTTTCCAACAGATACCTAGGCTTCGACTCCCGCATCTTCTTCGCGGATTCCGTCCAGTTTTGCTCTAATGGGACGTACACTGGGCGTGTGACGGCACTTCAGTGCAAGAGCTTTGCCAGCACCAAGGATGCCCGAGCCATCGAGAATAATGACAGCTTTAACATCAATACGTTTGACCACTGGCTACCAGACTGGGAAAGTTCGAGGCTTCGGGAAATCTACTGCGACGCGCCTTCATTAGCAGGCTACTCTGTAGCCGATCAGAGCATCTGCGGTCTGGCCCAAGTTTTATCGGACACGCCAGGATGAGCGCGCCTGGCGTGTGTGTGACGCGCACGGGAGGAGGGGCACATTACATCGTAACGTATACACACAACATTGCACAGATTGCAGATTGCCCCGGGGGCACGCGTAGTCCGTAGACGCGAGCTGGGGGCCGTGACGTCGATGGTCGAACGTGAGTCGTGACCGCGAGCGCGACGTTAATTAATAACCGAACGAGAGAGCGAGAGAGAGAGCGGACTTATTTTTCACGGTGCCGCCCTCACAGGACAGAGGAGACGGGGAGGACATGCCACAGCCGCCCACTGAGAGCCTCGCGGCGTCGTTCGGGGCGAGCGCGACCAATAGTGTCTACTAACTTGCGGGGCCCAATGCCATGCAATACCGTCCGCCTCCCGTCTCCCCGCAATACCTCCGCGCCTGGCAGCCGACTGCCCTCGTCGCGCGCCTCTTCCCCCACCTCCAGCTCCGAAACGAGGTCACCGGAGATCGACCCGAGATCGTCCCCGAGAGATCAGCCGAGTCCGTCCTGCTCGGCCTCCGCCGGCCCCTCCATTGTGCGGCTCCACTCGCCCGCCGCGCTGCGTGAGAGTGTGAAGGTCGGCCAGTACTTGAGGTCGAGCTTCAGGGTCGTCATGCGGAGGCGGCCCTCGAGGTCGACCGTCTTGACGCGGACCACCTGTTCACAGCTCGAGGTGTGAACAGACGCTGTTCCACACCTCGAGGTCGGCCGTCTGGACGCTGTTCACACCTCGCCGTCGGCCTTGCCGCGTGTGCACTCGAGCAGCGCGGCCAGGGTCGGAGTCGGCACCGAATCCACCTCGATGATGTGCGAGGTGGGGGACAGGTCGTACCGGCTCGACGGCGAGCCGTAGAAGCGGTACGACGCGTAGACGCCGCCCTGCGCCGGCACAGACCGCTGCGCGCGCACGGCGTCCGGCGTCTCCTGCAGAAGAAGCTCTTCTATTCACAGCTCTGCTATTCACAGCTGTTCTATTCACAGCTGCGTCTCCTGCAGAAGAAGCCCGGCCCACCTGTTCACAGCTCGAGGTGTGAACAGAGTCTGTTCACACCTGTCTCCTGCAGAAGAAGCCCGGCCCACCCCAGCACGCGCGTTGTCCCCAGCCCGTCCGACGGCAGCATCGGCGCCGTCACTGCGAACGGCGCGCCGTCACGCACCACGCCCAGCTGCACCGACGCACTGGCCTGCGACGCCGCCTCCGCCTCGTTCAGCGATCGCACCGGCGAGCCGTTGACCGTCAGCAGCAAGTCGCCCCCGCGCAATGCGCCGCCACCGCCGCCGCCACCGCCGCCGCCACCGCCGCCGCCGCCGCCGCCGCCACTACTTTCGCCGCCGCCGCCGCCGCCGCCGCCGCCGCCTCCGCTGCCTCCGCCGCCGCCTCCGCCCACGCTGCCGCACCCCTCAGCGCCCGCCGCGGCCGTCGGCGGTGACGGCGCGCCCTGCTGCTGCACCCCGTGCACGTGCGTCACGAGGAGGACGCTCGCCGCCGGCGCCTAACAGAAGGAGCCCAGCACACGGGGTGGAACAGAAGAAGGCCGTGGACGCAGGACGCTCGCCGCCGGCGCCGTCGAGTCCGCGCCGCCGCCCGCGCCGCCCGCGCCGGCCGGTCCGCCCGCGCCGGCCGCGCCGGCTGCAGCCACGGGCGTTCGCACGTGCGCAGCGAGTGTTGCGTCGTCAAGGCCTAGCTGGCGGGCCGCCGCGAGCGAGATTGGCTCGAGAGTTGCGCCGATCGACCGCCACGGAGGCGGCGCCTAATCTCGCCCAATCTCGCGGGTAATCTCGTCCAATCTCGCGGGTAATCTCGTCCAATCTCGTCCAATCTCGCGGGTCGGCGAGGGCAGTCTCTTGTCGCCACGCCGTGGAGGCCGTCTTCGGACGTGTCTCGGAAATGACTCGGAAGTGTCTCGGACGTGTCTCGGACGTGTCTCGGACGTGTCTCGGACGTGTCTCGGAAGTGTCTCGGAAATGACTCGGAAGTGTCTCGGACGTGTCTCGGAGGTGTCTCGGAGCCTCGTCTGCGATCAGCTTGTCGGCGACGCGCGCGACCAGCTCGATCGGTAGCCTGCGTGTTGAATCGGGGCCGGAATACGGTATTGTGCAGCGTGCTCAGAGCACCGCGTGAGCACAACGGAGAAGAGTACAGTGAACACAGCGGAATACGGTCGAGTACGGCGGAATACGTGTCCTCTCGAGTGCTGGCTGGGAGACATGAACACGTCTCCCCCGCTTCTAGGATCGGGAGCCCGCGGAAGACCGACGCGAGCTGGTTTGGCGCCGGCTGGTAGGCGCAAGAGACCCACAGCGCGGCCACCGTGCCGTCGTCCGAGGCGAGCACGCCGCCGTCCACGGGCGGCGCGACCTCGAGGCCGAGCGTCTCGGCGTTGTACACCTGGAAGCGCGGCGGGTTGGGGAGCGGCAGCTTGATCCACCCAGAGTTGGCGACGCGCGTGCGGCGGCAGACAAAGTCGACGCGGCGCGACGCGTCGATGTCCTCGTTGAGGCCCGACTTCAGCCCGACGATCACCACCTGGCGAGTGAGCGAAGCGCTCGTTAGTCAGGCAGCTGGCGAGGCCCGACATGCGCGCGGCGGGTCGCACAAGCCTAATGACTTCGTCAGGCCCGGTCGGGCCCTTCATTAGCGCCGCCCGACGCGAGCGCGGCAAGCACAACCTCTGCACCCGGCGGCAGCGGCCGCGGCGCCAGCTTGGCGGCGGACACCCTGACGTCCGCGGGCACGCAGGCTGGGTCGTACCTCAAGAGCGCAAAGTTGTGCAGCGGGTGCACGTACTCGACGCGCGCCGCCACGGTCACGCGCCCGCCGAGAGTGAGGGACGCGTCGCCGAGGGTCGACGTGACGGTGTTTCGGTCCACCGCCACCAACCCCGCGGCGGCGTCGAGGACGACGCCGGTGCCTCGGTAGCGCATCCCCGTCTCCCCGTCGATCGAGAAGGGGCGGAAGAAGTCCACCGTCACGAGTGCATCGCGGAGGGCGGCGGAGGCGCGGGCAATCGAGCCCTCGCGGCCGGCGGGGGCGGTGCCGCCACCGCCCTCCTCGCCCTCGCCAGTTGCGGCGAGGGCGGCGCCGGGCGGCGCGTCGACGGCGGCTCCGGTGGCCGCAGCGGCGGCTGCAGAAGCGGCGGTGGTGGCAATGGCGGCGGTGGCGGCGGTGGCGGTGGCGGCGGTGGCGGCGGTGGCGGCGGTGGCGGCGGTGGCGGCGGTGGCGGCGGTGGCGGCGGTGGCGGCGGTGGCGGCGGTGGCGGCGGTGGCGGCGGTGGCGGAGGCGGCATCGGCATCGGCTGCGGCAGCGATCGCTCCGACAGGTGCAATCTGAGGTGGCGACACCGCGGTGGCGTCCGGCTCGGCGGCATTCAGCCACCCCGTCGCCTGCCCGAGCGTCCCAGTCTGCCAGTCGCCGACAGGAGGCCTCCGCCCGGACTGTGGCGCGAACCACTTTGTGTCGTACCGGACCGACACCAGCTGCGTGTGCGCGCGCGCGCCCAAGTCGGAGTAGCGGACCGTGAGCGGCGTGCCGTGCGCCGCGCCGGCGAGCGTCGCCACAAAGGCGGCGAGGGTGGGCGTCGGCTGCCCGTTGACGGCGAGGATGATCGAGCCCTTCGAGAGGCGTGCCTGCCGGAAGATGTAGCCCGGGTGCGCCACGTACACGCCACGCGCGGGGAGGCCGTGGTTGCGCGCTTGCTGGTAGGACAGCTCGTTGACGACCGCGCCGCCAACCTCGACGTAGCACGACGGCGTCAGCGCGTGCAGGTCCGCCACCGGCACTTCCACCTCCCTCGCCTCGCCGCCGCGCACCAGAGAGACGGCGACGGCGCCGCCGACGGCGCGATCGAGCGCAGCCTCCAGGGCGACGAAGGAGGTGCACGGAGCGCCTTCGGGAGAAGAGACACGCGCGAGTGAGAGGACAGCCGAAGGGGGCGCGGGTGGGTGGTGGTGGTGGTGGTGGTGGTGGGTGGTGGTGGTGGGGGGGTGGGGGCGAAGGAGGTGCACGGAGCGCCGTCCACGAGAAGCAACACGTCGCCCGGCTGCACGCCCGCCGCCGCCGCGGGACCCTCCGGCAGAACCTCGGTGACGGCGAGAACGCCGCGCGCTGCTCCCGCCGCGCGCAGGGCCGACTCGGCCTCGTGCGGCAGGCCGAGCCGCAGCGCCTCGTCGTACGTCTGGTGCGTGACCACCATCTCCAGTGTGCCGCGAGGCACTGCTGCGCCGGACCGCAGCAGCTCCAGCGCCCTCGCCACACGGTCGAGCGGGAGGAAGAAGCCGGCGGAGGTGCCTGACTTTCCTCCCGCGTTGAGCGCGATGGCGGAGCCCCGCTTGTTGAGCACGGGGGAGCCGGAGGAACCGCCGGAGGTGCCCGAGGCGGAGTGGAAGTAGAATGTGTTGAAGTCGTTGTAGCTGGAGCGCGAGTAGTGCGGCGCGTTCCTGTCGAGGCGCGCCAGAGTGGTGCGGTGGATGGAGCACTTCTCGCCGGCGTTGTTGCCGATGATCAGGATCTCGGAGGTGACCTCGGCTTGCTCTGGCGCCAGCCGTAGCTCGGTTGGCTTCATGTGCCGCAGCGCGGAGGGGTCGAAGCGGAAAAAGGCAAAGTCGTGCACCGGGTCGTAGTAGGCGAGAGAGAGGGAGACCTCCTCGTTGTTTTGGAAGATGGCCTCCGCCACCACGGGCCCCGGCCCGGCGACGTGCCGGTTCGTCAGGATGATCCCCTGCTCCGCGTCGACGACGAAGCCCGTCGCCTGCACTGTGCCGGCCGACGCGGTGTCAAACGCTCGGACGCGGTTCACCTTGATGGCGACGACGGCGGGCAGCGCCGCAGCGATCGTCCGGTCCCAGCTCTCCTCCTCGTCGCTCGATCGCGGCACCGGCGCACCCGCGGCCGGAGACACCTCGCACCGGGCCATAAAGCTTGCGGTGGCAGCGGCGGCCGCAGCGGCAGCGGCGGCGCCCACAGTGAGCGAAGGAGCACGATACACCACGCGAGCGGAAGCGAGCGGCCGAAAGGCCACCCGACGCGCCAGGCGGAGCATCGGATTGCCTTTCCCCCACGAAGCTTATTCGCGCGGCCCGCGCGGTCCCGTGAAGGGATGTTCCTGCGGCGGCGGCGCGGCGCCGTTTTCAAAAAAATAGTTCTCGCACGCGTTCCTCCCGTGTTGGTGTCCAGACGGCTAGCGCACCACACTCCTCTCCTTAAAATCCCTGTGTGGTGGCGGCGTGCCGTTCTCCCATCCCTCCCTTGGGTTGTGTGTTTTCTTTCTTTCTTTCTGGTGTCCAGTCCGAGCCTGGCTGTTCTTCACCTTTCTACCTACCTACCTACACTGCTGTAGGTATATTGTTGGCAAATCAGGACACAGAGCTCACACAAATTCACAGTGGGAGGAAAGCGGCGAGTCGCAATTCCTGGGGTCCTTACGTGGCGGGCCACCCTGTCCAGAGGCGGAGGTGCCTTTCTGGGATCTTGAGCACTTGAGCACTGGATAGGGTCGGTTCCGCATGGTACGGGACCCCTCGATCGTCTCGCCCTCCCTCACTGGTGTGTTCATTGGGGGGGGTCATAACAAACACGGTACAGGATCGAGGTGCACGCTGCCGATTATTCTCTCCAGTATTCCCCGAAGCCCAAGAGTCATCGCACTGAGCTCGCTCGCGCTCGTCGTCGCCCCTCGGTCAAGCCCATGCCCAATCCTTCCCACATCCGTCCACCCTAGACGAGGCGCTGCCCCGATTACCGCTCCGCATCCTGCCTTGCTCGCGCGCTCTGGTCGCCCTTCACACGGACTCACGGATCCATCAGTCGAGAGCATCACACCAACCTCCATAACTGCATTGACTTTCATCGCCACTTCCAAGACCGCCCTGTCCGCCTCCGCTGTTATTCCATCCCGTTCCCCCTTCTCCATCACTAAGGTCTCCACTCCACCTCCCACCCGGAAGGCACATCCATTCTCCATCAACTCCACGCTCTTCCTCCGACAAAACACGGATAGCATAGGGTGGCACACCGCATTCGCACTGAAGTTGTACTCGTTGGCCGTTAAATCTGTTTCCACTCTCCATGCCCTCACTCCAGCCACTCCTCCGATGCCAAGGTGACAGTGATGCCTTCCTCTCGCCTCCAACTTGCACCCACTCCTCTGCTCGAACTCTCTCCTCAGGTCCTCCGCCACCTCTGAGGGGAAAAGCCCTCCGGCTAGCTTTGTCCACTGCCTCTCCACAATAGTATCCTCTGGCACCAAGGTAAATTTCCAGAACACAGAGCGGTCTACTTTCACAAAGTATAAGTCCCATCGTGCGGCAATCGCCTCCAGATGCCCGCATCCCACTTCGTACCGAAATCCACCATACGCGTTGCAGCAGGGTCTTTGTCCACCAGCAACCGCCTGTATCCAAAGACACGCCATCGAGACCCCAGACTTCCCGTCCACTCTGGTCCCAAGCCGCACCTCTTCACCCAAATCTACTCTCGTCAAATGCAGCAGCACTGTATCTCTCTCTCTCTCTCTCTCTCTCTCTCTCTCCCGCCTTGACCCAACATAGAGGCAAATGAAAAGAAAGAAATATAAACTGATCGCCTCGCTCGCCAATCAAGCATGCACACCCGCCTCCTCGATCGTGTCTGCGCCCTCGGGGCAATCTCGGCCGTTCTGGCGTTCGCGACGACGGCGGCTCCGAGCGCGAGGGCCGTCACGCTCAGCTTCCCCGACCTCTTCGCCGACGAGCCCACCGGCAGCATCCGCCGCAAGACCGTGATGATCCAGGCGGACGACGACGTGAGCATCGAGGTGCCGGAGGGGTACACGGCGTACTCGCTCGAGGCAGGTGTCACAGACGAGTGCGACATCACAAAGGCCGACAAGCTCCAGGATGCATGCGCGCGCCGGGCAGGGCGCCGCCCAACCGGCGCGCCGGCTGTGTGCCGCATCAACCTCGAGCCGCATCAACCCTGCCCGGCTGTGTGCCGCATCAACCTGTGTGCCGGATGCATGCCGCCTCCGGGCGAGGCGGAGTCCGATGAGCCGTACTCACTCGGCGTGATCGCGGCAGTCGGGCCTGGCGGCGAGTGCCAGCAGGTTGAGCTGAAGTCGACGAAGTCTCGCCAACCACACGGTGTCACGAGAAACGATGGCTCGTGCGACAACGACAACCTGGTTGGAATCTCCATTTTACCGGAAGACACCATCAATGATTATTGTTGCTGCCTTCCCTCCTCCTCCAATACCTGCTCTTGCACCTCTCCCAGTGGGCTGACCTGTGTTGCCGATACTGCCGTTCCCGCGTGGGTCGGGTGGTCTGCCGATACTGCCGATGACTTTTGCGACGTAAAGGAGCAGTGCTGCGGCAACGCCCTGTGCTGCAACACAGTGGGAGGCGGCGGTGTGTATTGATCCACGTGACGGCGGTCAAACGCCGAGGCTGCCTCAACCGGAGAGAACCCTTGAGCAGCTTCGACGCAGTCGCGTGGCAATGGACCCAATTAGATGCGCAGCCCACATGCCAATTCTGGCGCCGCAGTGGTGCGAGCCCCCCCCCCCCCCCCCCCGTCCCAACCCAAACCCAAACGCCCGTGCATTAACAACCCGCGCAGGGGCCAGGGATGAACCCCCCCCCCCCCCCTCCCATCCCCACGGATCCTCCAAAACACAAACCCGTACATCATCCGTCATCCCGTTCCACCCACCGTGCCCAGCTCGGGGTGTTGAAAGTTGATTGCGGAGCGATTCTAAGATCAGGGTTGCCACCTCCCCACTGAAAACGAAAGTCTAAGTTTCAAATCTCGAACAAATCTCCTTAGGGGACCCCTACAGGGTTCTGAGGGCCGGAATTTTTTAAGACCTTTTAAGAAACGAGGAGGTTTAGGGGCTGAAATTGCCATTTAAGAGATTGCAGGCACGGTGGGTCCCTCTTTTAAGACCGTTTAAGAAAATCGGCCTCGCCGGCATGCGTCGCTGGGTTCCGCGCCGTTTTCTCCAATACTGCTGTTATTAGGCACAAACCCGCCTCTGAAGACACATCTGTAAGTCTGGTGCACTGGCAGGAGCCATACTCGCATAGGGGACGCGTGCTAGCTGACTGTAGCCAGCTTCCCGGCCTCCAGCGTCTCTACCGGGAGCCTCCCGGACCATCGACCTCGCTCCTCGGGAGCTCTCCCGCACCGTTTAAGCGTTTAAGACCGTTTAAGGAATTGGCGGTCCAGCAGCTCTTAAAACTTGCCATGGCAAGTTTTAAGCCGTTTAGGCCGCAGGCGCCCCAGGGCCCTACTTTTAAGCCTAGGGGTCCCCTAAGCAAATCTCGAAACACACTTGAATGCTCACTTGGCAGGTAACATATGCGCCACGCGCCCCAACCCGTCAGGGGCGGCGACCCCCCCATCTTAAGATGATGTGCGCATCCTAGATGCCAAACGCCATCTAGGATGCGTTTTCCATCTAAGGACACCGGGTGTCTCCACTGTGATTGGGTTCTCCAAGAAGATTTAATCATCTTTAGATGGTGCCCCGCGTCTTTTGATAGCCCATGACATCTCAGATGCCGCGGACATCTTTAGATGCACAATTTTCCTGAGATGATACAGGTGTGCTGAGATGCTCCTCGTATCCTAGATGCCGCTCCGCATGACCAGACTAGCGGTATCTCGCGCCCTGGTGAGCGCGACGACGCTCCCCCCTCTCACGACCTCTTGCGGGGAGCCGACACCCGGTCTCGCGCATGG